AGCTGAATAGTTTTGGTGGCACCTTTTGTTTAAAAACAGTCACATTGAAGCATTTCAACACAGTCATTGACTTAATTTACATCCAAATGATCCAAAATCACGTGAACTCTCCCCAAAAAAAAAAGCCTAATTGCTTGCTGCCGCTTTGAAAAATGTCCATTTAATTCCACGGCTCGGACTCTTTGACACCTCATCAGTTAAGTCCCAGTAGGTCCGCTTAATTAACTGCGGTTTACCAGTGGAGCCAACTGGTCGGGGTCCCTCTGGGACCTGGTCCCCTTCTGGCTCATCTACCTCCATCTCCACTTTGTCTAGACACTATGGGGCCGCTCCAGATGAGCCGGGCTGCAGGGATTTAGGACGCCTCATGTAGGTGATTTTAGGGCGTGGTAAATCCATAAGATGGGAATTGTCACTTATGGTTGAATGGGTCCAGTTTTCTGTGTGCTGGTATCATAAAAAGATCAAAAAGATGCTTGATTTAAAGGGGACATATTATGCAAAACCAAGTTTTTAATCATTTGATTGTGTACATTTGGGACTGTGGAGGGCCTATCAGCAGGCAAAGTGTGAAAAATCCAGGAGATAAATCAGGAGGTTTCAGGAGTGGGTAGTTTCTGACGTCATTAGCTCTAGCTCATTATAATATTCCAGCCTTTCACCTGCATGTTGCCCCCCCCCTCAGCATACTCCCCTATCTGTGGCAGACGTCGTGCTAGCGTTAGCATGGTAGCGTTAGCATGGTAGCGTTAGCGAGCCGACGTGGGCACACCTCCCTGAAGAAGTGGGTGGATATCCTGTGTCTCATTTGCATTTAAAGAGACAGGCACTCCAAAGCGAGCGCTCTGAACGGGGCTGTTTTGGGTTAGGGTTAGGGTTAGGGTTAGGCAGGGGGACTGAACTGCTATTGGGCTTCATCCTTATGGGATTTTGACCAAAGCTTGTCACAGACATTACATCAGGACACCAGGGAACTAGTTTAACTTGTTGAAATAGGGTATAATATGTCTCCTTTAAATACACTGAGTTTTTATGACCTATAACAAAAATACAATCAGCTCCTGTTGTCCAAATGATGTCTGATTTGGCTTTTTGGGTGCATTTTTAACGTTTGATGGTCACTTTATGGCTGCAGTCAAAAGCTGGATTCATTTATCTTTTACATTAGGACACTAGGGAACTAGGTTAACTTGTTGAAATAGGGCAGTGTTTTTCAACCACTGTGCCTCGGTATACTAGTGCTGGTCAGGTGTTCCGTAGAAAATCATCCTATTTCACGTAATTGGTCTAAAAAAATTTTTTGATAAGGAATTAATATTTCTGCAAATAATATGCCATCTTTGAGTGTCTGTGCTGTTCTAGTGACTGGTGGCGTAATCATGTAATAATTCCTTATGACTAGATTTTGTATGTAATTTTGTATAATAAAGTGGACATGTTAAGTGCAATTTGAAAGAAGAAATATAAAATAAGATAAAAATACATTTTTGTGTTTATTTGATTCCTATTCGAGACACTTAAGATAAGATAAGAATAACTATAGTGTTACTATAGGCGGCTACAGATTTGTTTGACATTTTTGGTTGTTGGTGTGCCTCGTGATTTTTTCAATGAAAAAATATACCTTGGCTCAAAAAAGGTTGAAAAACACTGAAATAGGGTATAATATGTCTCCTTTATGGTCCTTGCGGGAACCCTCACTGTCTCTCTTTTGGGTGCAAATGATGTCTGATTTGG